GAACTTTAGTGCCCTTACGAGGTCAATCCTGTGTGGCCTAGCTTCGCCTGCCAACAGAAAGGAGCTGGGAAATTTCCTGCTTCACGTTGAATTCTGACAGAAATTTTAGAATAAACAGAGGGGAGGTTCTCAGCATCGCCCTATCCTTCATAATTGCAAACAGTGGAAATGCCGACTTAAAGCTTTCGCGACTGCAGGAATTCATACTCTTTGGGTCTCTCGGTAAAGTCACGTAGAAATATATATTTTTTTAATAATTTTTCTATCTACGTGACTTTACCGAAAGACCCAAAGAATAGGGTGGAAATGCGATCAGGGTCTGCAGCTCTCTAACTCTCCTTGCGGAGGTTAGAACCAACAGAGAAAAAACATTTTTTGTGTAAATAGGTGCTCCAAGCACGCAGCCAATGATTAAAAAGGCAGGCTGAAGACAGTGTTCAGGACACAGTGCAGCTACCATAGGGCTACACCTGCCCATAATGGTGGACTCTCCTGTTTAATGACCCTAAACCGTCTAGAAATTATTGGAGACTTGGACCAGACTCCCCTTATGGAGCCAGGTTCCTCCTGGATCTGCCTCTCTTGAAATCGCTCTTGCCCAGAGCCTTTTCCTGGCCACTCTCGAAGCCTCCGCGGCACTCCACCCCGTATTGGTGCGAGTCACCTGGGTGACGCAAGCAGGGATCGCCTGACAGTTCCGGGCCGCCTGTCTCACAGGCACCTTGGAAGGGGGGTGGGGGTGGCAAATCTCCCTGGCGCAAGCAATCGTGGGCACCTTGGGCCCCGGCAGATGAAACGCTTGACCGCCGCGCGGTCCCGTCTGCTGCCGCATTACTTGGGGATTCGCGATTTCTCAGGAAGCACTATTTTGCGGGGGAATGCGCTCGTACCTGGCTGTTCCTGCGGACCGTCGCGTCGAATCTCTCTTCACGCCAAGTTGCGAGGCCTCCGCACGCCGTGCAATACTCGCTTGCAAAATACGTTTGTGAAAAAGTCAAAAACAGTAGCGGATGCTCAAATTTTTTCACTAGAAAATGACAGCCACCCAGGGAGTGTACAGTAACGCAAATAACCAACTCCTGGCAGTAAAAAATATTTACACAGCAGCTAAAACGACCTGTAAACTACTCTACGAGACAACTCTACTTAATCGCAGATAGTAAAGCTCCCGTTTGGGGATGGAAAAGATTATTATGCGCCTAGAAGACACTTTTTATACTGACGAAATGGCACTGAGGGATCAAGTTGGATGGGTGGTTTCCCTACAGAGCCCCTAAGGGGCTAATCTGTAAAAATTATTTGGATTGTTTTCTAAAGTTTCGAAATTGCCTGGCAGAATATGGAATTCAATGGAGTGTCAGGGCAGGCTGAGTGGAATCAAGCTTGGCCTTGAGGCAAGAAGGAAGCATCAATGGGGGTTGGAATCGGCATATAAACATATGACCGATAACCTAACTAATCTGTTTGGTTCTTTCGGTAAAGTCACGTAGAAATAAAATAAATAAAATAGAGAGCAACTCCTGCAGTCACGAAAGCTTCAAATCAAGTTTGAACCTAACTAATGTTTCAATCATAATTATGGGAACGGCCCGATTCCTCACAAATTCTGACATAGCATTCAGACAACAAACATGGGTCTCTGGAATCACCATTGATATTAAAAATGAGGATTCTTTACTGAACGTTTATTAGACTGTCAAATAATCCCTATTCATTTTAATATACTGTACTCAGAACTAGTCATTGAAATTTATATGGATCTACTGTGTAATTCCAATGCACAAAAATAATCATTATCAATGGTCATTACTTTGTCTCCATTAAAATAAAATGCATGTTGATTATTCTTTCTCCGGCAGAATCCCTGTTAGAATATTTTTAACAAGTGAAGACAGATTTTGACATTGTAATTCCCCAATGCGAAATTGTGATTTCTGCAGGAATCATCCAGAGTGGCATTGTGGTGTTTGCATGCCATTCCGGTAGCACCCAGCACTTGTCTCCATGCAGACGTGCAGTAAAATGTGACTTGACAAACAGGTTTTTACATTCGGATTTTACTTCTTTCCAGTTTTACCACCAGATGGCACTTAAATGGTGAGCCCCCAAAAACATGCGCTTTCTGGTTACTGCAGTCATTTACAGGACTCAGTCTAAACACGTGTTCTTAATAATTGAAATTCATCTACTCCACCTATTTCGTACACATGCCAGCAAACAATATTGATGCGTGTGTACTATCTCAAACCAAATTTATACCGCGCCACAATGAACACTGGCAATAAACATGAATACAAACATCTTGCGTTATCAGATGGATATTGTAATTGTAACCTCAGTAGAAAGCAAAATCACCAAATGTGCACTACAATACATTAACATAATGTATGTACCGTAAACATCCTCAACAAGGCTCCTGCTTAGGGATAATTGAAATTTAAAAAATGAATCACTCTTTGATATGGTCTAGGAAAAATCTACTCAAATCAATGGAAAGGAGTATATGATCCTTATGGCGGTACCCCGGGGTACCCAATAATACAAAATTGCCGAGGGAATTAAAATATGTTATTTCTGGGACACTATTTTTTCCAGGGGTGTACTTCAACTCCGCGACTGGGGTACCAATCAATCCGAAATCAGTGCTATTCCGCGATGTCGAAATCCAGCGGGGACGATTGCGCTGAAACCCTGAACGCTCGTACGCACCGTAGTGGTGCAACGTGTACAGCTCGCCGAAGAGAGGTCGACTGCCGCATCGCCGACCATCAACAGACTCAAAATGACTGCATCACGGACATTATGCGAGGGCCGGGGTACTATGGTACCCTGGGGTACTGCCATAAGGTTCAGTTGTCCATAGAGCATGGACAATAAGTTCACAGCTAAAAGAGGTCTTATTCCAAAAATGTTCAAAGATTATCCTTGGAATTCACTAAATCCAAGCATTAAGGGAAGTCAATAATCCTGAACTGTGATATAACTACAGCATAGAAACTAATAATTGTATTTAACAAACGCAATATCGTTGAATTTTTCTCAAGATTTTTACTTGTGTATTTTCTGTTTATCGAATGGGGGTAACCTTGACCAGTAAATTATTGGGCTAGACATATGGCAATATGCAACAAGTGCTTATAATAAGCAAGAGTATTTTGATAAAATGTAAACAGAAAAAATGGGTTACTAATTTGATGTTCCATATATAGTTATTGTATTACAGCCATACATATGTATTACATTACAGCCAATAGTATATTTTAATAGAGATCTGCTGAAAAGGAACATTGTGTACTGATCAAAGCATTTTGCTTGTTGTTTTGCGACCATCGGTCTCAATAACGATGGGAAATGTTCTTACAGTTGCAAGGATTCAGTGAAAATCCAGACAGCTCAAATTGACAAAATGAAAGCAACCAAAAGGCCGATTAAATCCAGGTACTGTATAGGGATGTAACACACAACAAACACAATACACAAAGGTACCAACGGACGTTAGGCACAAACAGAACACTGTTTGTAATTTGTATAATTGAATTGTGGATGGAAAGGCACCAACCAAGCCCACTACAACAGTTTCCTAGAGTCCATATTCCAAAACGCTAAACTCGTGCATACGTAAAGTGCTGAAGGAGAAATGGTGGCACCGTGTACAGCGACGTGCGCCTATGGGCGCAATACAAACATGTTGCGTACTTGAGGGAAATCTGTGTGGAACGGGAAATGGAAGCACCACATTGTGTGGCTCTTGCGCAACTCCAGACGAATGTGTCGGTCTGGTTTCGACGGGTCTGTTTTCGATCTATGGGTCTTGCTTTCAACAACACCTGATATGTGAACAGATGTCATTGCAAAAGCTCCCTCCCATCAAAATGTTCAAGGTTAAAAAAAAATTCTGCGTTTTTTTTTACTAAATTAGCATTTGGTGATAATACAAAAAAAACAAATCAAGCCAACAAACGAGGACTTCATTTTGACGACCTTGTCTTGTCCTTTCTAATCGACCGAATGAGTTAGTGGACAAATCAGACTCTTGTTCCATCAACCACACACTCATCATTACAGGTCACCAGCATTCTCCAATTACAGTTTCATGTTACTGGAGGGTTATGTCCCCCCCTCCCCCTACACTTCTTAACCTCACAGTACTTTAACTTACACACTCAGGTCAACTTTATTTAACGCGTTTTATGCAACCAGCCACAATCTTGCGCAAGTGTGTGCACTTGCTACGGAAACGGTCAAAGTTGACATTCCAATTATCTACCCCAGCATCAGCCGACCTTGTTTCAAACACAGTATTCGAATACAACTTATACATTTCAAACAAAATATTGGTCTTCAACTTAAGACTAAGCTGCCTACCAACAATAGATTAGTCTTCATAATCCCCCCACCCCCCGGTTACAATAATTAAAATCGTGCGTTTATGTCAGCTGTCACACACGGAAACGTCTGCAGGCGTGGAGGCCACTTCATGGACATTGACACCACGATTTATTACAACACATGTTATCGCCATGGGCATACACGTGTACATGCAGAAAAATATGTTCTGATGAATGCAATATTTATGCTAATGTTTTTGGACACTGGTCGGAACGAACTGAACAAACTTTGACAGCACGAGCCATGACAGTGAAGCATTGACACCAGGGAGGAAGGAGGTAGACAATTTAATCAATGGCACTTAACAGCCACTGCAATCGAGACTGCAGAAAACTACGAACGAAACAGTACAAAACAAGCCAGACAATACAAACTAGACAGACGACACAGACGCGACAGTGAAAAGGACACTTGCAAACGACGGCACTGACGAGATGAATCAAAGGAGACCGTGGAGCCATTCCTGAGAGGGAGGTTCATTCGTTAAGGTCCACCCGGGCAAGAAAAACCCGCAGAGGCCTAACCCGGCAAGTGCCCAGCGTCCTCGACTAGCCGCCTATACCGGGCGAGAGACACCCCGGGCGGCGAGGCCGAGAGCGTCAGAAACCCACCGGCCCAGCGTCCGAACTTGGTCACGTCGACAGCCGGGCCGAGCAGGCGTCCCAGCACGTGAACTCTGAAGCCGCCCAGGGTGGTTATGGCGAGCTTGAGGAAACAGTAGGCGAAGGCGGCCACGCCAAAGTAAAAGAAGAACGGGGTCAGGTACTCCAGGTACTCGCAGTCCGTGAACGCCATGGCCGTTTCCGTCACGCGATTTGATTTCCCAGTGCAGGTGCGCGACGCGACGCCCCGCTCGCGCGGCCCCTTCTGCTGCCATTGGTCGCCGAGAGGGGGGGTGACGCGCGAGGGGTCGTACGGGCCACGTCGACCAATGGGAACGCGCGGAGTGGCTCGCGCTGCTTGCGCGCGCTGGGAAATATAAAAAGGGCGCGCCCCGGTTGAGGGTTTTCCCGCCAAAAAGGGACGAGGGGGGGGTGAAATGAGGGGGTGGGGGGCACCAAAAATAAATCTTTACGTTAAAAATCCCTTAAGATTTAACGCGCATTTACAGCTTACTCGTGGACGTGCTATAATTAAAATACGTTAATGCAACATAGCTGCCAACCTTTCTTTATGGTTCGGAGCGAAGTTCATCCTCACACCCGATGTTTAAACAACAACTGTTTACCTCACAACAGCTCTGACAACAACAACAAACAGCATTGGAAAATTGCTCGCTCACGATTGCAACATTTTATATTTAAAATTATGAAAGCAAGTTATTTTTATGTGCCCGTGTTGCTCAATCTTTGGCACATGCCCGACCTAAGAAGATTTGTTCAAAGTGTTTCATTTACTCTGGGATGCCGCTACACTTGACTGTGTGTGGTTATGATTAAAAATAACCGGGTAACTGGTCACATTTTGTGGATTTTTGTAATGAGAGCAAAGCCAACGGCGATTTTTCTTTTTTTACGAGATTGTAGGGTGATTAGTTTTTATTTCTGACTCAGCAGTAAGCAACGTTGGCCCAAAGTCGCTTACTGGGACAATGTCAAAGACTTTGTGACGTCCAACCAAATGATAACAACTCAAAGTTCAATCTCGCCTCACTGTATACGATAATCGCGTTTCCCGATGTTTATTTTTACGTGTGCGTGTGTGCGCCTGTGCATGGTGTGTGTATATATACATATAAACTATAGCGTTTGGAACACCGTAAGCGGTTGTTTATTAAACTACACACCTCCACGTGGTGTTCACGTCTCAAGATTCCCATTTCCCGTATCTCAGGGGTCAGCAAAACGTGCGGCTCCTTAAGGGCTACTTCTTGACGTTATTTATTAAGGGGCCGTCCATAAATGACGTCACGCACCTAGGGGGGTGGGGGGTCAGACATTTGTGACGATGTGTGACAAGGGGGGGGTTGAGAAATGTGACGTCACATCAAAATCCGCAAGTTTAAATAAATATAGACAACACGTTCTACTTAATTAAATAGACTTTTTAATAAATGTTTTCTCCTACAACATCACAGTGCAACGCCACATTAAATACGCACTACAAAGACAATAGTTTAAAGCGATTTGAAGCATGTTTTATATATTTTTTGGGGGGGAGGGGGGGGCAGAGCTTTGTGACGTCATATCTGAGGGGGGGGGTCTGACTTTTTGTAACGCCGTGTGACGAAGGGGGGGTCAAAAATCGTCCAAAATCGCGTGACGTCATTTATGGACGACCCCGAAAGGCAATCCGGGTCTCGTGCATCGCGGCATCGCGAAATATTGAGCGTTTTTTGTTGTTTGTTGACCTAATTCGATTTCTTTTTTTATGTATTCTTTATTAGTTTGGTTGGCAAATCCTAACCTATCCGATATGGCCCTTTCCTATTCAAGTTGGTCATCTCGACCTTCATTCTCAAAGTTGAGAGGCAGTGCCTTCCTTCTCCTACGTGTGGGATGTTTCCCAAACATCTTTCCCCCAGAAGGCCGGCGACTCTGACGATCTTTCTCAATCCAGTTGTTTTCGCCTCTTCTGAATTGTTCCAATTTGATCATTCGCTGCTCCCTTTGAACCCACTCGAGAACTTCCTGCTCGCTCGCTCGCTCTCTCTTTCCGAGCCACCGATGTCTCTCCATTCGATGCCGCCACCGGCATAATTGTAACCAAACCTCCCCGTGAAACGTGCAGACCTTGGGGCCCATGTTGGCCTGTGCTTGGAACCGTTGGGCCGACGCCGTGAAATGTTGCCTGGGATTTCCACATTTCGAATGTCCTCCTCTCTCATTTATCCACATCCGTGCTAAATACGGTACAAAGCCGCACGGCCTCGTGGTGTCTTTTCGAATTTCTCCTTTGCAATTCCCTACTCATCCCTCTGAATCAGTAAATCACTTTTTGGACATTTGAAGCAATTGGCGGGACCCCGGGGTGCCATCACTGCCCCGGGGTGGGAAAAACCGCGTAGCGACACGAGTCTTGCTGCCTTACCGACAACACAACTAGCGTCAATCGATTGGCCTCGTCGAGAGCTACTCGGGGACACTAAGTTTCGTAAAAAGTTGAAAAATTACACAAACACGTTAAATTCACTGCCTGCGGGCGGCGGCGGGGCTCGCCTTGGCAAGGAAGCCGAGGATGGACGACGGCTGACCGGAGGGCGGCGGACGCCCCCCGGGGCTCGCGTTTGGCCGGTGGGGTGGCGCCCATCGTGTTGATCGCCGCCTGCTGCTGGCGCTTGTTGGCACGAGTCTGGGCGGGCGGCGCGTTGCTGTCGGGATCACGTAGTGGGGCGGACTGAAAAATAATAATTATTGACCTGATTTTTGCGGGACCCGGGGTCCCGCCATATGACTCATTTGACCGATTTGGTCTAAATTAGCCGTAACTTTTTGGGCACTCCGACCGGCCCTGCTGTGAAGGTTTTCTGGCTTGTGCGACATGTTTGGCACTGTGCTCTGGGATGTGGATCATTAATGGGCTTATCTTTGTCCTGTCGTCACTGTTTTTGTCGGTTCCACCTTTTGTTTTGGTGCCGTATCTTTACCTGTTTATTGAGGTTTAGTTTCTGAGGGTTTTTCATTTGCTTGGAAGTAGCTATGTATAGGATTTGGCCCTCATACATATGTAACGTACTGTGAAAGCATTGTGGGGTGCAATTTGCATTAATTACATTATATAAAATTAAATTAAAATTATTCTAAGAAGGGTCATTGCCCGAGCGTATGTATGTTGAACTTCTTTCACACTGTACGTAGCCAAACGTGCTGAAACGTCGTCACCTATTACGTACCCTTTCTTTTGAAGACAGTGTTGTAGATGAACGTGTTTAGTTTGTTGTGGTTATTACAATTGTGTAAACAGGACTTATTCCAATACTGATGTTTGCAAAGTAAACCGATACAGATATATAATTGCATCACTGAAGCTTTTATGTAATTGATGACTTAAAACTAACGAGCACGCATCAGTGCTGATTGTACATTTGGCAAGCTCAATGTACAGCGTGAAAATTATCGTGTGTTACAAAATAACTCGTTCGAGCATTAAACAATTACTCATCGTTTTCGTATGGCTGATGTTGCAGCAGTGCGGCGGTTGAGCAAGAGTCAGTGCCGGATGATCCTCGTAGCACAAGCAGCTACATATGTAGTAGTAGTAGTAGCTACACGTGTAGTAATAGTAGCTACACTTGTAGTAGTAGCTACATATGTAGTAGTAGTAGCTACACATGTAGTAATAGTAGCTACACTTGTAGTAGTAGTAGCTACACATGTAGTAGTAGTAGCTACACATGTAGTAGTAGCTATACGTGTAGTAGTAGCTACACATGTAGTAGTAGTAGCTACACATGTAGTAGTAGCTACACATGTAGTAGTAGCTACACATGTAGTAGTAGCTACACATGTAGTAATAGTAGCTACACTTGTAGTAGTAGTAGCTACACATGTAGTAGTAGCTACACATGTAGTAGTAGCTACACGTGTAGTAATAGTAGCTACACGTGTAGTAGTAGTTACACATGTAGTAATAGTAGCTACACTTGTAGTAGTAGCTACACATGTAGTAGTAGTAGTAGCTACACTTGTAGTAGTAGTAGCTACACATGTAGTAGTAGCTACACATGTAGTAGTAGTAGCTACACATGTAGTAGTAGTAGCTACACATGTAGTAGTAGCTACACATGTAGTAGTAGCTACACTTGTAGTAGTAGTAGCTACACGTGTAGTAGTAGCTACACATGTAGTAGTAGCTACACTTGTAGTAGTAGTAGCTACACATGTAGTAGTAGTAGTAGCTACACATGTAGTAGTAGCTACACATGTAGTAGTAGCTACACTTGTAGTAGTAGCTACACTTGTAGTAGTAGTAGTAGCTATACATGTAGTAGTAGTAGCTACACATGTAGTAGTAGCTACACATGTAGTAGTAGTAGCTACACGTGTAGTAATAGTAGCTACACTTGTAGTAGTAGCTACACATGTAGTAGTAGTAGCTATACATGTAGTAGTAGCTACACATGTAGTAGTAGTAGCTATACGTGTAGTAGTAGTGGCTACACTTGTAGTAGTAGTAGCTATACGTGTAGTAGTAGTAGCTACATATGTAGTAGTAGTAGCTACACATGTAGTAGTAGCTACACATGTAGTAGTAGTAGCTACACATGTAGTAGTAGTAGCTATACGTGTAGTAGTAGTAGCTACACATGTAGTAGTAGCTATACGTGTAGTAGTAGTTACACATGTAGTAATAGTAGCTACACTTGTAGTAGTAGTAGCTACACGTGTAGTAATAGTAGCTACACTTGTAGTAGTAGTAGCTACACATGTAGTAGTAGCTGCACATGTAGTAGTAGTAGCTACACGTGTAGTAGTAGCTACACATGTAGTAGTAGTAGTAGCTACACATGTAGTAGTAGTAGCTACACATGTAGTAGTAGTAGCTACACGTGTAGTAATAGTAGCTACACTTGTAGTAGTAGTAGCTACACATGTAGTAGTAGCTATACGTGTAGTAGTAGTAGCTACACATGTAGTAGTAGCTACACATGTAGTAGTAGTAGCTACACTTGTAGTAGTAGCTACACATGTAGTAGTAGCTACACATGTAGTAGTAGTAGCTACACATGTAGTAGTAGTAGCTACACATGTAGTAGTAGTAGTAGCTACACGTGTAGTAGTAGCTACACATGTAGTAGTAGCTACACATGTAGTAGTAGTAGCTACACATGTAGTAGTAGTAGCTACACGTGTAGTAATAGTAGCTACACTTGTAGTAGTAGTAGCTACACATGTAGTTGT